CCACACCCACACCCTCAATCTTGCGGAGCTCATTCGGGGCATTTATTCGCAGATGATTTATGCGTCCTTATAAGACCCCCATTGGAAGCCAAATTAACACCCATGATCGAATACTTAGAACGAGAAGGCACGAAAATATGCGATCAAATCTTTGAATATTCGAAAAAATGGAAGCAACCTATTAATATAAGTAAAACTGTTGCACAATTGTTTTATACACAAATAAAAAAGCCAATAGTAAAAATAGAAATGTATGGTCAAAGAATTGAAATTGTAAATGAATTTAAGTATTTAGGATTTACATGGACGAGTAAACTCTCCTTAAAACCAACAATAAACAGATGTATAGAGAATATTCAGAGATCTGTTGCTAAACTTAGATGGTTAAGAACAAGAAGGTACATGTCCACTAAGACATTGAGACAATGCTTTTTTGCGTACACATTTCCACATTTTGCATGGCTGTTTCCATTTTCCCCTCTACTTCCAGAATCACAACAACAAATTTTACAACGGAAGTTTGGTGTAGGTCTCCAACTGGTGCATCGCTGTCCCTTTGTCTCAGCTGGCAATCTATACACTATGACTAACGAACATTCATTAAATGTTTACGTTAAGCAGTATATTGAAAAAAGACTGAGAAACATCCACACAACGGATCTAGGCCGCTCACTCTTCTATAACGATATTTTCTTTTGGGATGAGTTTTATAAGAGAAAAAATGATCGCCTTGGTCAGTTTTTTCGTATCAATCGAGTTAAATTACTGATAAACAAACATGAATCGCTTCTTCTAAAATGGTTATCGTTCATTGAAATAGTATAATTATATGTGAAGATAGGAGCACGAGGAATGGTGCTCTCTTCTCTCTCTCGCTCTCCCCCTCTCTTTACAAACGTCGTTTTCTTTTTTTTTTCTCTCTTGTCCTTCTCTCTTCACGCGCTCGCTTCTACTCAAATTCTCTACATTTTTTGTTGCTTTTTTTCTCTCTTATTACCCTCACTTGCTGATTCAATATTTAGTACCCGCAGACAAAGGTGAATGCTGTATAACTTTTTGCACGGAAATTGTAGCTTATATTGAAACAAAAAATCATCTTTAATTAATTCATAATGTAAGCACTTCCGAGTGTTACATGGAAACGCAAAATAAAAAAAAAGATCATCTTCACTCGATTTGGTATGCGATATTTCTTTGTCTCTTTTTTAAATTATACGCACTAAGAATGATAGCCTTAAACTTCTTTGTTTTTCTTTGATTGTTCGTATTTAGAATACACAAGAATTAAAAACAAATCCACATGGCATGAAACGAAAGTATGCAAAACTAGTGGTCGATGATACTATATCTCAACAAAATGTGTCAAATCGAGTAAGAATAATAACATTTTTTGGATTCTAATTTCTTCCAATTGTTTATTAATTTAGATTATTTCAAGTAAAAAGATTCGTGATAAACAAATGTGTTCATCTTTCTTCTAGTCTACTTCAGATTTTATTCTTTCTCACTGTTGTATTATTTAGAATTCTATATTTTTTCACTTTGCTTTACATTTTTCGTATTGTTTTTCTTTCATATCTTTTTTATTATCTTTATTTTTTATACTTCTAATTCGATTTATAATAAAACGCATTCATTTGATGAACACGAATGAAATACTAGCTAGTGATGCATGAAAAAAGATTTTTAAAAGTTCGTATCGTAATCACAAATGTATGAAGACAAGAATCAAATATTCAATGACACATGGACAGTTTGAGTACAATTTCTTTTTTTCGAGATGAATATGTAGGAACTACCTGGTACCTGATGTGAAAGATTGTGATTTAACCATTATTCCAATCTACTCATCATCGTTTCTACGGAAACAACCTTCTCGGTGATGACTATTTGAAAAAAAAAGGCAGTTGCCCCAAACAAGAGTAGTCTTAAGTTTGTTTCTTATCTTATGTTGGTTTAGGATAAATTAGAATTTTTTAAATTTTTTCGTTACTCGACTTTTACCTATAGATGTCGATAGTGAGAAGTGCATCTGTTATTGATAGGCCGAACGAGATGACTTTTTTCTGAGAGACAGTATACCAATAATCAAAATATGGCTTCGGCAGTGTGCCAAAGTATCACATGATAAGTAAAAGAAAAACAATGAGATATAAACTTTTGAATAAACAACACAAGATACTAGAATTTGGTTAAGTAACAGAAGGCATTTGATAATCTTGGGAATCGTGGAGTTTAATTTAAATCAATTTCAATTTGATATAAATATGCTTTTAGTCAATTTAAATCGAATTCGAATTTGCAAAGCTGTTTTTTTAGATTCTTAAATGTAAGCTAAACACTCTTAATTAGGGTTCTTAATAGTATTTTCAAATGACTACTAGTCGTTAATAACTTATTTTAGATACTATTGAGAAACAATATAACGGATGTTCCAGAAAGAATGGTCCTCTCACTATTTTTTAAGATCTCTCCTCTATGATCCTTGTAATAAAAGCTCATTTTATTGTCAAAATATAGGACTTGAAATTCTCTCTTCATAACCACAAATAATTGCGCCCCAAAACAGCTCCACATGCGTTTGAAAAAAGACAAAAAATAAATGCACACAGGTAGCTGTAAAAGTAAAAAGTAAATATTTGACAATCAATGGTCGCACGTGATTTTCATTTCACATTTGTATCTCTGAATACGTTTTATACAAAAAAAATAAAACAACATAGTAAAACATGCAGAATGAAAATCTTAACAATCTACAAACTAAAATTTATTTGATTGTATACTTTTTCTTTTGGGAAAATAACCAAACTCTATGCATCCAATTTTCGTCATTGTGAACAAAAAACATTTTTTTACACGCATGGGAATGTTTTTCTTTGTTCACAATGACGAAAATTGGTCGCACAGATTTTTGTTTTTACTTGAAAATAGAAAGTATACAGTTTTAAAAGCTTTTAATTTCTAGATTGTGGAACTTTTCATTCTACATCTTGTTGTTTATTGTGTTTTTTTTAATAAAATGTATTCAAAGATAAAAGTATGAAATGTTAAGTGCAGCCATTTATTATCAAATATTTGTTCTTTACGTTTTACAACTGCTTTGTGTAACGCTCCCGCTTGAGTACACTGTATGGCATAATGATCATATTGTTATTTTCGTCCTTATACTTTGTCCTTACATCTTTTTCTTCCTATATATGGTCTTATGTTATTTTCTGTCCTTCTTTCCTTTCATATTCTTTTCTTCTCTCTGACGGACAAGTATATAAGCATATGTTTTGTATGAAAACGATGCGATTCTTGATAGGAAGAAATATAATAAAGCGTAATTCCACCAGCGCTAGCTCTTCTTCCATCTACAATCGTCATACTTTGTATGTCCTTACTTTTCGTCTTTTTCCAAATATATCTAAAGTTGTTCTACCCATGGAAAAATTTTTTTCGAAAAACCGCTCAAAACCGCGATTTTTTTCATTCGACCGCGGTTTTACTAGAGGAAACCGCGGTTTGGATTGGATAACCGCGGTTGGTAGCGGTTTTTTGAACCGCGGTTTTCTGAAACGCGTTGCTCGTATTCATGATCGCGGTTCTAAATACCGCGGTATTCAACGGTCTAAAAAGGCGCGGTATGGTAATTGGAAACCGCGGTATTTCATAGCACGGCATTCAACGGTTTTCAAAACCGCGGTATAGTCATCATTAACCGAGATGATAAATACCGCAGTATTGAGTGGTTTTTTAAACTGCGGTATATTCATCGATAACCGTGGTAGTAAGTAGGGCGGTATTGAGCGGTTTCAAAAATTGCGATATAGTCATTATTTATTGCGGTAATAAATACCGCGATATTCAGCGGTTTCTAAAACCGCGGTGTAACCATCAGTAACCGCGGTGATAAATAATACGGCATTCAATGGTTTATAAAACCGCGGTATAGTCATTAGTAACTCCGGTGGCAAATACCATAGCATTCAGCGGTTTCAGAAACCGCAGTATGCCATCGAATAATCGCGTTATTTATTACCGCGTTTTTCAGCAGAGAAACCGCGGTATTTTTGGTGCTTAAACCATCGCGATGGAATGTGTAAGGACGAAGAGGATGTCGTGCCCCGCTATTTTCATGAAAATTTTGCATAAGTTTTCTTATTCTATCTCTCACTACAAAGTAACTTTGTGGTAATGGAACTTCTAAAGTTCACTACAGACCCCTTGAAGGGTCGCTCACTTGAACTTTATCATAAGTTCAGGTGAGTCTGATCATACCTGAATCAGGTATGGTCATGGAAACCGCGTTTTCCAGCGGTTCCAGGAAACCGCGAAATTCAGACCTTTTATTTGGTTTTTTAAAACCACCAAAAACTCCGGTATTGGTACACTGCGGTCATCACCGCTTGAATAAATCGCGAAGGTCAGACCTTTAATGCGGTTTTTCCAGACCGCGGTAATCAATGGTTTTTCGAAACCGCGAAAGTCAGACCTTTTATGCGGCTTTGGATACCGGTGAAAACCGCGGTGTGAAATTACCGCGGTTCTTGGCGGTTTTCAAAAACCGCATAAAAGGTCTGACTTTCGCGGTTTCAGAAAACCGTTGATTACCGTAGTTTGTGAAACCCCGGTTTCTCGCGATTTTTGTTCAAAAATTTTTCCGTGGGTAGAGCGCAGTTATATCGTTTTGAAGAGAATTTCAAACGATAGTAAAAAGAGCTTTAATTACAAGGCCCATAGAGGAGAAATCTTAAAAATACTGAGAGAACTATTACTGAGGCACCCGTTAGTATAGTCGGCTTTCTATAGATTCCTATAACAATCATTGCTTGTGTAATCTATGCTGTTCGATTCTTTTTTCCTTGTTATCACATACTCTTTTCAATTTCACAGATTCAAAAAGAATACTATTATTCTTAAGAATGCCGCTGAAGGTAATTGGCGCTGGTTTCGGACGTACCGGCACAGAAAGTACGAAAACTGCACTCAATTTACTCGGGTTCCACTGTTATCATATGACTGAAGTGATAAAAATAGGTCGCAAATCAAGGCTATTATGGATAAAAGCTGCTGATGATCCATCTGCAGCTGAATGGGAACGAATATTCGACGGTTATGATGCCACAGTGGATTGGCCAGCTGCTCGTTTCTGGAAAACTTTAATTCAATATTATCCGGATGCTAAAGTCATTCTGAATGTTCGTGATGCTGAAAAATGGTATGACAGTGTTAAAAATACTATATATAAACTTGCTGGAAGTTTGGTATTCAAAATCGGAGGAAAGTTGATTCCAAATCTGTGGTACATGGATGAACTCGTAAGAAAGATCGTATGGACTGGAACATTTAAGGATCGATTTTCAGATAAATCATACGCTATCGAAATATACAACTTTCATAATGAAGAAGTCAAACGTATTGTTCCGAAGGATCGACTACTTGTGTTTGACGTCAAACAAGGATGGGAGCCATTATGTCGATTTCTAAATCTTCCTGTTCCTGATATACCATTTCCAAATGTTAATGACAGACAAGCTGTGGAAAAGAGTTTTACAGACTTCAAGAAACAAGTTTTCATGATATTTACATTCCTAGCAGTAATTATTGCAGCTTTAGTCTTTCATTTTTTTCATTGAACACTATTCTAATGATATAATTATGATTTTTGCATTGAGTTCGACGAGTGAATAAGATTGTTTCATTGTATCATGCTTTGCTCATATCGCATGAAGTATATTTTTTAGTATCATTAGTTTGAAAGGAGATTAGTGTGGGTGGGGGGCTATATGGATGGATATTTTATTGAAATATATTTTAATTAGAGCTAAAGAAAATGTTATGTATAAATACACGATATGGTCTGCAATTGTGATTAAGCTAAAAAAATTCAAGGATTATTGTAGTACCATCTGCTAACAAATTAGGCCGAAATAATATGTTAGTTTAACTGTTTTCTTGTATACTAATGAAATCACTATAAAGTTCTTCTAAGAGTTGCCTTGTATCATTTTTTAAGTGTCTTCAAAATGAAGAATATGATACATAAATGATGATTTGTATCGAGCTCACCTTCGAATATACTATCGACTCATATAAACAATTTATTAGATCTATTTTGAATTGTGACTCAAAATTCAAAAAAAAACCTTGTATGCTGTATATGAACATCTATTCTAACGAAAGCTTGTAGAGCGATCTAAACTCCCTACAATCAACTTTAAATTAATCATCTTTCATTGTGACAAAAGCTCAACTTTAGTAGTAGGATCTTATTTTGAGGGTGTGGGTAGGGATGTGGGGTGTGGGGTGTGGGTGTGAGCGTGGGTGGGTGTGGGTGTATATGTGGGATGTGTGTGGGAGTGGGTGTGGGATGTGACTGTTGGTGTGGGTGTTCGTGTTTCGAGGACCTGGACACCCACACCCCACACCTAAAACCAATTGAGATTCACTGTAGATTTTCTTTATGTATTTTTATTTTTGAAAAATAAAAATTTTTAATCTTTATTTAAACAAATTGAAAGAATTTACTGGTGTTTATTTTATAAATATAAAGGTTGTACTTATATTTATTTCATAAAGTAAAGAAAACGTAACCCTAATAAAAAAAAAGTTTTTCTTTGCAACTAAAATTACTTGTTTCCTAATAAAAGTTTTTTTTCTAGTGAGAAATCTGGTATTTCACTGAATTTAGTAACTAAAAGTACCTGAGAATATCATTATTTTATCGAAGCTTAATACCTTGCAATAGGCATACTCAGTTTAGGAGTATTATTCTAACCTGTATATGCCCTGTGACGGTCTCTGATACAAACTCTCGTCTCGTTTTCTATTGTTCCAAATCCAACCACTTAAGATTGTCTTAAGTAATTATATTTCGAAATTATAAATTACTTTCAATTACAAATATTATTCATCATAATAATGACGAATATAAAAGAGAGAGAGAGATAGACATGAGATTTTACTAACATATTCCTTCAAAATTTAAAGCATTTGATTATGATTGCATAATCTAAGAACGATTGTTCACCTTTCTTAATTTTTCATCTACCATTACCAAATACTTTTCAGTCGTCAAATAAATAGTTTACTACGAAATTGATGTATATTATTTTCATAATTTTATTTCTTTATCCCATAATTATCTTGAACAATTTATTATTTTCATGGTGACCGATCACTTCGTCGCACGACACTTCGTCGCAATCACTTCCTCGCAATCACTTCGTCGCACGATCACTTCGTCGCAGAACAATTTTTTTCGTTCTGTTCGTCGCAGAATAATTTCTTTCGTTCTGTTCGCTGCGTCCCTCCCAATTAATTGTTTTTCGAGACATGAAATTGATCAATTTAATTCATCTTTATTTTGTGCATGATACATAAGATAATGATGAACAAATTGAGTACAAAAAAAAAAGAAAAAAGCCAAACTAGAATAACGAAAAAAAAGAAGAGAGAAATCAAAGAAAAAAGAAAAATCAACAATAAAAATTAAAGAGTAATGTTAGCCGAAATATTTTTTAAGTTATTGTTCGTTCACTGGAGCTCCATCAGAATGACATTGTATTAAAATTTTTTATTGATCCGTTTTCCCAACTAAAGTCATATGCATTAGAACAATCAATTGCCTATTGTTATTGTACACATCCTTTAGAATTTTGAATTCAATTTAATTTATTTTATTTTATTTGTTTATATTTAAAACAAGAATCAATTGAGAGGAACACAACGAACGGAACGAAAGAAATTGTTGTGCGACGAACAGAACGAAAAAAAAAATGTTCTGCGACGAAGTGATTGCGACGAAGTGTTGTGCGACGAAATGTACTAGCACCGGTGTGGGTGGGTGTCGATGTATCTGTTAATATTCTCTTCACCCACACCCCAACCACATCCACATCCCACACCCCACCCCGACCCCTACCCACAACCACACACCCACTCACCCACACCCAGTCATAGCACACCTACAGCGGCCCACATCAACACCCACCCACACCCCACACCCACCCACACCACACTCACACCCACATCCACACCCGCACACCCAACCCCACTCACATCACACCCACGTCCATCCACTCACACCCACACCCACGCACACCACACCCACCCACACCACACCCACCAACACCCACACCCATGCGTCACACCCCACCCCACACCCCCCCCCCCCCCACACCCCCCCACCCGACCCCCCCCCCCCTTTTAAAAC